GGCCTATGGTCAGTTTCAATCCATACCTTTCGACCATAAACAAAATGATGAAATTTCTCGCATGCAAACACTATACCGAGCGTTTCCTTTTCAATTTGCGAGTAACGGCTCTCACAATCGGTTAATATTCTTGATGCATACGTCACTGGGCGCCAGTCATTGCCATGTTTCTGCAGCAGGGCCGCGCCTAAACCGGTTCCCGAAGCGTCCGCAGGGATCTTAGTGTCCTTCTCGTCAAAGAGCGCGAGTAACGGTCAGTTTGTTAACGCGTTGCACACTGCTTCCCATTCCCGCTGGTGCGCTGTGGTCCATTCAAACGTGACGTTTTCTTTCACAAGGCCGCGCAGCAAGATTGTCTTATCACTCAACGACAGCACATATTTGCAAAAGTAGTTGACTACGCCCATCATTCTGCGCACGGTGTGCCTATCTGTAGGTGTCGGCAGTGAACGGACGCTTTCAACCAGGTTGCGACTCTGACTTATTCCCTGCTCACTTATTACGTCTCCCAGGAACTCAATTTCTTTCACGCCAAAAACGCATTTCCGCAGGTTAAAAGTCAGGCCCGTCTTTTGTGCCCGCTTCAGCACGGCCTGCAGGCGTTCGTTATGCTGATCCTTGCTGACGCCCCACACTAAAATGTCGTCTATGTATAAGCGTACACCTGCCAATCCTTCAGATATTTCTGTTAGCGTTTTCTGGAAAACTTCGCTTGCTGACGAAATTCCGAACGGAAGTCGCAAGAAGCAGTAACGCCCGAACGGCGTCACAAAAGTGCACACTCGTGATGTAGCTGCGTCCAATAAAATTTGGTGGAAACCTGCCTTGGCGTTTAGGCGCGAAAAAAATGTTGTACCTGACAGCTCTGCCTCAATCTCTTCCCTTGTTGGCATAGAATAGTGCTCACGCTTTATGTTCTTTCTTATTTCCCTCGGATCCATGCATACACGAAGGACCCCATCTTTCTTATGCGTAATAACCAGAGGGCTCACCAACTCTGTCGGTTCGTCCACTTTCTTGATAATGGAGGCAGTTTCCATGCGTTCCAGTTCTTGTCGAAGAGGCTCTCTCAGGGCCAAGGGTACCCGTCGGGCTGGGTGCACGAATGGAACAGCATCCTCCCGCAGGGCCATCCGGTATCGCCTTCCGACACAGCCCGTACCCTGAAATAAGTCTGGAAAGGCCTTCTCGGGTTCCGGCTCGCTCCACCTTACCGAATCCACAGATTTCGGGACAAGCCTAAATTGCTTACATGCGTGCAGCCATAATATGACCTGGCGCCCTTTTTTGACTACGAAGAAGGTCACAGCATGCGTCGCGTCGTTTAGTAGCAACAATTCCCTGCCATATCCGACATGCTTGATGGCGCTGCCGTTGTAAGCCTTCATAACTGCACTACTTTTCTGCAGGTCCGCTGCTGCCTTGAAACGACGGAAAAGAGACCACGGATTTATGTTTGCTTGTGAACTTGTGTCCACTTTGAATCTGATTTCCTGTCCGCCTAGCTTTCCGCTCACCCTCCAGTCTGCGCTTTGCCGGAGGCTGACACCGTAGACACCGATGTCCAAAATGTCAAATCCGTCCTCTGCCTCAACTTCTTGTACTTGGTCTATGTGTCGGCTCGGTCGACGCTTGCAGCATATAGCAAAATTGTTCGGCTTATTGCAAGCAAAGCATGTCTTTCCATATGCTGGACATTGCCTTTGCGCGTGCTCCTTGTTGCACTGTTGGCACCGAAATCTTTTTTTGTTGTGCTCTGCCCTGTGGGCGTAGTCTACTTGCAACGTTTGACTCGACCAAGCAACAGTTTGTCATGCTGAAACCTCGGCTGCTTTACAAATCTGCTCAGCCTTTTGTAGGGTTAAGCCCTTTTCTCGCAGCATCTTTTCCCTTATCTTCGGGTTGTTTGTGCCAAAAACAACCTGATCTCGTATCATGGATTCTTCTGGCATGCTGAAACTGCATAGCTTCGCCTGGTTTTTAAGCTCTCGCAAATAATGCTCAAACGGCTCTCCTTCGTTCTGCATGCGAAGGCGAAAAACATGCCTCTCGTAAACCTCGTTCCCCTCGTCGACAAAGTACTCCTCGAACTTCTGCAACACTGTCTGGTAGTCTTCATTGCTCTCACCTTCTGCGAACAAGAAGTTGTTGTAGATGTCGAGGGCTTCCTAACCGGCGATACTGAGCAAGATTGCTGTCTTGGAGGCTTCCGTCCTGGGTGGTTTAGTGGGCGTCGCCGCGAAGAAAAGTTCCAGTTTTTGCTTGAACATCTGCCAATTTCTTCGTATGTTGCCTGCCAACCGCAGCTGGTCTGGATGCTTGACGTTTTCCATTTTAAATAACGTCCCAAACTACCGACCAATTTCCTTGACAAGTACTAGAAAAACTTTAGAACACATTTTGACTATTCACCTGATGAAGTTTGTGGAAGAAAATGACATAATAGATAAAAAACTCAGCACGTGTTTCGGTGAGGATACTCTACCATTGCGATTATTACGGAGGTTACACACAAAATGAGGCAGTGTATTGATGAAAAGGGTCAAATGAACATCATACTTATCGATTTTTGAAAAGCATTTGACAAAATATTACATGAGAAGTTGGTTATGAAATTGTCCTGTTTCCTTCGCGACATTCAGCTACTAAAATGGATAGAGGCGCATTTGTCAAACAAACAGCAATTTGTTGAATTAAATATTGTTCGCAGTGCCAATAAACCGATCCGATCAGGTGTGCCATAAGGGCCCGTTATAGGCCCTTTCTTCTATCTACATTAGTGATATGGGTGAAGGTTTTTCGCAGCGAGTAGCTATAGAACATTATGCAGATGATACAATCGTGTATGCAAAGATTTGCTCCTCTAACGACCAAGTGGTACTTAATGACCACTTACAAAAAATTAGTGTTTGGTGCGATGATTGGCAATTGGGATTGAACGCATCTAAATTCCTTTTCATGCGCGTGACACTTAATAAAGACCCGCCATCTTTTTTACGGCATTTAAGGCGCACTTCAAACAGAAGCAAAAGTAGTTAAACACCTAGGTACTCGCCTTGCACACGACATGAACTGGTCAGTATATGTTGATGATGCTTGTAATAAAGCCATGCGCAAACTTTGGCCCTTGCGACGAAAACTGCACAATGCTATTCCAGAGACTAAAGCAATGGCATACAAAATGACTGTTCTTCCAGTACTGGTCTACGCAAGTCATATATGGGAACCTTACACTAGAACATATACACTAAAATGTGAGCGTATACAAAATAAACCCTCACGGTTCAATTCAAACTCGTATTCAAGAACTCAGTCTGTCAGCGAGCTTAGAGCAAAAACCGGAATAATGACGGTGAAACGAAAAATGCAACTTAATCGACTGATATAATTTTTCACATACTGAGCAGAGATTTCAGGGTTAACCTAGGTGAACACATGGTACTAGAGAAAACTACCTCATCCAGAACAAAACAATCAAAACATACTACACCGATAAAACATAAAACAGATTTATTCAAGCATATTTATAGTTCAGAGCATTGATGATTTGAATAGGTTACCTCAAAACATAGTCGAATGTTCTAGTCTACAATGTTTTGGAAAGGTTTTATCAGAATATTCTTGAATGATTTGCATTGCTTTAGCATTTGCTCGCCCTTCGATTCTGTTGTTGTTGGTTACCTACTGCCTCAACATGTTCAATGTACTATACCATTTCAAACATTCTTTTTTTTTCTTTGGTGACATATAGGGGATGTATTTGAACCTGTTATTTTACATATATTGGTGAGCTGTACAGAATATTTTTTAATACGACTTCGTGTGTTGTTTTTTTATTATAATATGTTGTGCAATTCTTGAGTATTGTTTTAGCGTGTGCTACGTTTGTACACGAGAGTTATGTAACCCCAACTCCTGTCTTGGCTTATGTGCTGACACTATGACTAAAAAAACAGACTGAGAGTCCTGTTCTTCTGAATAAGTATTACGCTTTTCAAGCTGGCGCTTACATTTAGTGGATTTATTGCCCCTTCCTAACTTTATTCTCCCAACTTTCTACAGCATACTTTTAGCCTTAATACAAATATTCTACCTGGCTAGCCTAGAGTTTCGGAACGAATCAGTAATCGCCACCATATCGCAAAAAAGTGGAGTATCGCCGTTGAAGGAGGAGGCGGCTGTCCACGGCGTAATAGGCAGATTCTTCCTGTGACTTGAAGTCACCGCGACTGGAGGGAAGCCAGTGTTCGTTCTCGAGGCTAATCGTCTGACCACACTGTTACTGTAACAGAGCAGCTGAGAAGACTTGACTTGCATCGACGTTACTACTTTGAAACTGTAATAAGTAGAGGTGTTTCTCATATTGAAAATTATGATCTAGTTCGAGAACTTCAGTAATAGTCAGATACAGCTTAGAAGTATGCGGTGTTTCCTCCTCACTGGCAGATACACAAAAACGTGCCCCAAGGAAAGCGGCCACGGGAATGTGACGTCATGAGCCGGGTGGCCGGTAACCCACCCACAATCAGAGAACATTGCCAAATGAGACAGCCAACTGTCGCGCTTCAGCTCTGCCGACTTATAACGTGCCTGTCTATAGCAAAAAAAAAAGAAAAAGAAGAAAAAAGCACCCACACAGCTCTCCTATACCAGAGTACAAGTACCTAACTTGCGCTCAATTTTTAAGGCAAACTTTTAAACTATGTACGAATAAGGTTGGTTGCTGTTCGAAATAGCGACTATTCGCGTACTCCTAATTTATGTGCACCTTACAACAATAACGAAAAACACAGATATTCTAGAAATACCAAAAATGCCAATAAACGGCTTGTATAAGACGACATATTACGTTTGCGACATAGTCTTTCGCTAGACACCACATTGTGTGCTTCTCACGACACCTGCCATAGCAGAGCCTCGGCTCTCACTGGCAGGCCTCGCAACCACTAACTTTACGTGCGCCTACTAACTATCAGCGCATTTGGGGCTATGCAGACTCAATGAACAGGAACAGCTCACCATGCGAAGACTTTTACCAGTTCGCGTGCGGATCGTGGCGCCCTCGTGTGGCTGGGGCGCAGACCGCCATGCGGGACCTGCTGGCTGTGTCGCAGACGGACGCCATTCGCTTCCTCGGCGTGGCGCACAACCTCAACATGACACAACCCACAGGAGGAATCCTCGCCAAGGTTTGTGTGTGTGCGCATGTCCATTGCATCACTGAAAATCGACCCGACAGAGTAACTGTGGTGTTCAGCTTTTATGCATGAGGTCGTCCGAAAGAATAAAAATTTTACGTCGCCTTGTTGAGGATGCCACATTCAAGATAAAAATTGCGGTGGCGTATTACAGTTCCAGGTGGCTAAATTTCTCAGTTATTGATAGCCCAGCATTTTCAGCTATCTCTGCATATTCCAGAGGCCAAAAGGAAAGCTGGGACATGCTAGAGCTTCGCTTTCAAGGGTAGAACGCGATTGCGTAATCGGACCGAGTTTGCATCGCCTTCCTAATCGCTGAGCTGGATTCGATTCTCGGTGCATTGCCTCAACTGTTCCGCAAAAAAACGAACGCCTGTGCACGTTTCAACTGGCCCTGTCAACCTATCCGAGAATGCCTATTGCTGGTACATTTTCGAAGTGCCCGCTACGACACAATTCTCCCTCTTGTGAGTTGGCTAGGTACCCAATACGCGTTTGTAAGTCAACACACTCATCTGCATAGCTGCATACTTCGTTCGTAATGATAGTGTTATTTAAAATTATGCTTGTGTGCTTAACACTTGATGGGACCTTAAAGCAATTGCTCATTGCACAATTCATATCTTTTGACGCCTGATGCGTTATTCTGTCACACAATATTACATGCGTTAAGGGTATAGTCTTGCCCCGCCGCGATGGTCTAGTGGCTAAGGTACTCTGCTGCTGACCCGCAGGGCGCGGGTTCGAATCCCGGCTGCGGCGGCTGCATTTCCGATGGAGGCGGAAATGTTGTAAGGCCCGTGTGCTCAGATTTGGGTGCACGTTAAAGAACCCCAGGTGGTCGAAATTTCCGGAGCCCTCCACTACGGCGTCTCTCATAATCATATGGTGGTTTTGGGACGTTAAACCCCACATATCATAAAGGGTATAGTCTTATCAATATAGGTGGCATTCATGTTTTTTTTTCTAAAACAATTTCGAGCAGGGACGTTGCGCTGTGATACAACACCTCCTTGCCACCCAGAAGTCATGCGTTTGATTCACATTCCAACTGGAGATCATTATTTTCTTTATTAACACATATCTCGAACTTCGCTCACGGATAACGCTGATGCTGATTTATTTATTTATTTATTTATTTATTTATGTGAATAAACAATGAAGGGATTTACATCAGGAGTGGGCTCTTGCGATAAGTCAAATAAGTATATATGCTCGATAGCTGCTTTGAAATTGATGATACCTGAGTGGTGCACAACGCCAGGGGGAATGCCATTCTAATCTTGTGCGGTCTTGGCAGACAAAATAAAGTACGAAAGGTGCGCAGTGGTGTGAACACTTGGCGGGTACATAGCTTTCCCGTGATTGATGCGGTCTGAATGACGATGGGCTGGCTTGATGGGGGGAGTACGAGACGATGCATGATAGGACTTAAAAAACGGGCACAGACAAGCTGTGCCACGGCGTGACGAAAGGGTAGCGAGGTTAGTATGAGATTGAAGTTCGGTTACGCTTGACTGATATGAATAATCTGAAAAGATGAATCTTGCTGCCCGGTTTTGCACAGTTTCAATTGTTTTAGTGTTGTTACTCTGATAAGGGTCCGAAACAGCACATGCGTAGCCAAGTATTTGTCTAATTAGTGTCTGATAAGCGAGTAGTTTGACTGGGGTAGCAGTAAAGGTTTCGGCGTAGACATCCAAGAGTATGGTTTACTACGTTATTATTGTGCGTTATGTGAAGAGACCATGTTAAATCAGAAGATAAGTGGACGCTTAGATACTTGTATGTACTTACGCATGAAATTTGAGTATGTGTACTGTCGGCGATGAACAAACATTTATGAGGAACTTTGTCAAAAGCATTTTTGAGGTCTACAAATAGTGCGTCTTCGGGTATATTTACATCAACGCTAGAGATAAAACGTCATTGGTAAATAGAGTGTCACGCGAAACACCTTTCTGAAAGCCATGCTGGGTTTTATGAAAGAAGTTAAGAGGTGCAAGGAACTTGATTATGTGTGAAATAGATTACGTGTTTTAATATTTTACAGCATGTACATGTGAGCGAAATGGGACGATAGTTCTTGGGTGAATACAAGTTACCTTTCTTAGAGACTGGAATGACCTTGCCTACCTTCCAGTCTTGGGGCACCACTCCTGATGAGAGTGACCGCTGAGAAGTGTTAGATAAAATCACACTTCTCGCAATTTTAGTGTTCATGAATACTTCTGTATTAATGCCATCTATACCCATTGATGAAAAGTCAGCTTTAACAAGTCAGTTATTTTTCGAATACCAGTGGCATAAAATACCAGTTTCGACATGATCTGGTGGCACACCGAAAGAGCATCGGGAGGGTCACCGTCAGGTTCTATGGTGACCAACTCACAACCAACGACGCTGACACTAGCGCCCCCGTTTATGTAAAACGTACTCTTTCATGCTTTGACGTTAAAAGCAATAGCAAGCTGGTCACCATTTTACTGATGATAAGCAGGCTCTAGCCAAACTTGATGCCGTCACTATAGAAACGACAGTGTGCACTTAAACCCTGCGTTGTTGTTCACTCTTTTTTTTTGTCTGCGGCCCTGACCTATTAGTATTTCCCCAAAGTTTAAGTATTACTTGTGGTGTGCTAGAAATTGGACCCCATGAATTAAAAGTGTGGTTGAAGATAAATAACAAAACAGCGATTGTTGCCAAACTGGTGGATTGGAACTTGAAAACGCCTTCAAAGTTAATATAATCCCCTATGACCCCTTAGTAATTGAGATGTGGAGTAGGTGCGGGCCGATAAATAAGCTCCAGCGTTACGTTATCGTCCTATAGCACACCCAAACTATACTTATACTGAAAATAAAAAAAAATCATTGCGGCGCAGCGCAACGAGCGTAAAATGTTGGGTTTGCATTCTGTACATTTGGTTTAGAAAATATCTTTTCGACTTTAGCGATATATCGCTAAAGTCGAAAAGCTCAGTTGCCAGTGACAATTGCCTCTAACAGCCAGTCATTCGAAACGACACTGTTTTTGGTATTGCGAAGGTCACACTGTACACCCGGAGCCGAACGCATATCGTGTCCATTTTCATGACACCACCCTCTTAAAAACAACGTAAGTGGTCTAAAAGTATTGCCGCTGGCGCACTTCCGTTTGTCCACTGTCGTTCACTTGTATTGTCTCACTCGCTCTAATGAATTGCTATATTGCTGTGTCCATGCAATGCTTTCAGTTCGTTTTGGGAGCCATTTTTTGCGTTTGAGATGCTTTTTAGCAAGAGACAGTAGTGAATCATGCCGGGAAGTTAAGGGTGGTGTTGACGTAGGTGTTGCCAATGGACAGAAATATACAGTTGGGCGTCCGCAACAGCTCTGCGGGCAACCTGCCAGCCATTTTCAAAGGCAGGCTATGAGCACAGAGCTGTTGCGGGCGCTCAAATAAAGCTGTCCATTGTCTCTGCCGAGGGCGGCCGATTTGGATTGCATAAGCCATGTATATATCGACCCTTCGAAGGCCATTTTCTCATAAATAAAACGCATGTTTTCCCGCAAGACTGGCGTTTAGAAGCCAATGGTATGCTACTCAGCCACCGCCAGACGGTAATATTTTCCGATAGTTCTCTTTAGTGATTTTTCAAGTGGGCATGGTTATCCGGTGAGGATAAGCGAGATGATGGTATCGATATAAGTACGGCACGAGCAACGCTCGCTCCTAAGCCAACATGGGTACTCGGACGGCACAATTAAAGGCGGCCGAAATGAACATTATACTGATAGTTTTGCACCCAGCGACATCGCTACCGTCATCATCGCTAATATGCCTTTAGAAGGACGTCATTGAACCAAATGGCTTAGGAAAGCACTGCACACTAATCTTGCGTGACGACTGTTTCACTTCATTTGTCGAGAGGGGCATGCAAGAGAACACAAATGCGAGAGCTCTCTGCGCTACAAAACATGCAGCCGCAGTCAATTCACAGGCACGTAGTCAGGTATGCACAAAGTTCAGAAAAATGTACACGCTTTCCTTCAACTTCATATACCTATAAGCGTAATATGCCGTCAGACCAATACATACCGTGTATAGTGTATGTAGCGAAATCCTTCTGTCCTGGCTTTTCCGAAGCTTCTTTCAGGCTACCATGAAAAATTAGGAAGTAGATATAATATAAATAATATCATATAATAATATAATATAAATAATAATATATAATAATATAATTAGGAAGTATATAATAATAATAATAATAATAATAATAATAATAATACGACTAGAACACGAGTCCATTCCATACGTTCCATAATAATGGAACGTACGCATTATTATTATTATTATTATTATTATTATTATTATTATTATTATTATTATTATTATTATTATTATTATTATTATTATTATTATTATTATTATTATTATTATTATTAAGAAAAATACATTTTATTTCTTCACATAAAGCAGTACCAGAGACTAGCCTTGCCAAAACCAATTGGTGGCTGTAGTGGCACAGCCTGGCACACAGCAAAACAATCCGAACGCGTTACACTGTTGCACTTCATTGAATAAAAAATGTCATAGGAGAACAACAACAACGTGCACATTAGGTTAGAAACAACAGGGCATACAAGCGATGGTTATTACCATTATACAATATATACAAACATTCAATGTAAGCAAAAAAAAAAAGGCCGCCCACATCTTCTCACAGGGAACTCAAGTAAATGCGCCCCAGAGTTGGGGGCGGGCTATCGCGTGAATGTTGCGTAATTCGGTAAGGTTTGGGAATGCTTCATTGTTTTCAGCTTTTTTGTTTTTTATTGAATTAAAGAGAATCGTTTCCTTCAACGGGTGGTGGAACGCTGATGTTGGATTGTGCCCCACTACTGCTTGAAGGTATGCTTTCATCGCATCTACTCGAGTCAGGCAAAGCGTCAAGTCAAGCGAAAGCCAAGACGACCTTGACTGAATTCCGAACGCGCGCTCCGTCGCTTAGGTACAGCAGTGACGGAGTACGGGGGAGATGTCCACACTCCTACTGCGCATTCTCAGCTTGTTGAACGCCCGGTGATGTCTTATCCTTTAATGGCTCCTGCAGCGACATTTGTGCGGGTGTCTTGCTGGGCCGGCACTAGGCGTGAGCATGCGGCACGAGACGCTAGCAAGCGCAACATCGTGCGACTAAGAAATTCTCCGCATTTCAAACGAAAAAATGAAATATACGCACTGAAGTTTCTTTAGCAATGTAGCACACAGTGCATGATTGTTCAGTAGCATGCTTGCAAATGAAAGAACTCAAGACATGCTTAAAAAAATAAACAACACAGATCTGTGTTGACCCGGCGGCATTTCACTACTGAAGCGCTGCTGGTGAGGCGATTGAGAAAGCGTATTATATATACGGAATGCTTTCTTCGAATCTCACCATGAACCGATCGCATTATCCAATTGGTTGAGGTAAACCTCAGACTGATGCTCGGATAGTTAGGAGATCCAGAAGAATTAAAAAAGAAATGGCAGCATATCCACGGAGTGAATGATGGAGAGTGGGGCGAAGCATTCATCTGTCCATGCGTCCGTCTGTGTGACCGTCCATGCGTCTGTTCGTGCGCCCATCCCTGCGTTCGTTCATGCATCCACCCCTGCGTCCGTTCATGCGTCCATACATGCCTCTGTCTGTGTGTCCGTTCGTCCATCTATTCAACACTCCAAGTCCCACCATCTCGCATCTTTTCATCATATATTCCCCATATAGAAGCACCGCCATTCAGTGGACATTCCAAGGACTAAACAAGAGGTGGCACATGCACACTTTCTTACGGCTTGCGCTTCGCGTCTACTTCCCACCTTCAACCACCTTGAGTTCATGGTATATACTAGTTCACTGTATTCATGGCACTGCGGCCCAATGCTCGCTAAACCTTTCTAAAACCAAGGAGGTTACGCCCAGCGAGTATAACGTAGCAACCTTTTCCTGTCAGATAGCGCTGAATGTACATGCCAGTGGCTGCTAATGTGAAATGAGAGACAGGAGGATTCAGCTTTTAATTTCTTACGGCTTGCGCTTCGTATCTGCTTCCCCCCTTTAACCACCTCGAATTTATTCATGGTATATACTAGTTCATTGTATTCATGGCCCTGTGGCTCAACGCTCGCTAAACCTTTCTAAAACTAAGGAGGTTACACCCAGCGAGTGTAATGTGGCAACCCTTTCTTGACCGATAGTGATCAATGTACATGCCAATGGCTGCTAATGGGGATCGCAGCGTGCGCGTTGACTAAAAGCCGAATGCTCCTGTCTCTCATTCCCCATTAGCAGCCATTGGCATGTACATTGAGCACTATTTTTTATTGTTAAACAACGCATAGAAGAAATCTCTCACCGGCACCACCTTGGAGGTCAAATGTTATGCCTGTTTCGGGTATGTGCCAGTGGTGGTTACGTACTACGAGAGACGCCTAAGCCACGTCATAAGGAGTTTCGCCCCTAAAATTATTTACATTTAGGTTATTCATTTTGCTTGGTTTTTATGCATTAAACGTGGGGTGGGGGTGGGCTGAGGGGGGTAGTTTTTTGAAACAATGGACTCGTGTTCTAGTTGTGCATCTTGTTGAACTTAGTGGCCTCCATAATGAACTTTGGGCCTTAAAGAATGAGAACTGATCTACGGAAGCAGGAATTCTTTGATCAAAAGTATTGTAAGACAACTTTTTGCTCTAATAGATCGTTGAAGTGAGGTGTAACAGCGGTTTGAAAACATCTCGCGAAGAATTCATGTGTAGGTCATACGATATATTTTTTAAATGGTACGTACGCATTAATATATTTGATATATTGTGCCATCGGACATCAGAGTGCCCATAAATGATTATTTCATATTGCAGTATGGTGTAGCCTAAAGCATGTTTTCCTTTTCGTACGGACAACGGCATGATATAGCAGACAATCTATATTATATAGCGGACATGACACAGCATGAAGTGTTTTGCAAACGTAAGCGAAATGACCATTCCAAGAAAGGTCGCTATCAATGTACAAGCCAAGGTACTTCACTACAGACGAAAACTGTAATGGTCTCCAAGAGCCTAATCAGCAATCATAACAACTAAAATGAAGGGATTGTTGAAGGTTACTATCTTTAATGGATTGTGGAAACAGATTAGGTTAGCTTAGACACATATATTACAATAACGTTGTGTCAAAACAAATGCGTGACTTTTCTGTAAGCCGACTGCAGAACAGCAATCACCTGATAGAAGTTGCGGGCAGACGTCAAGATTGCCGTCTCACCAGCATATTGATATGGAGAAACTGGTGTCATGCTACGAAGGTCATTTACACAAACATTGAGTAAAAACGTACTAAAATCGATCCCTGCGGAACGCCGGTATCGAAGACTTCGAATGCGCTACGAGATGCCCAACGCATACTATCGCTGACGCCTGTCTTAAAGGAAATTCGCCAATGAGGTCCAAAAAAGTCCCCCCCCCCCCCCCCCAAGAAAAGCGTATCCAATAACGAGATAGGACGTACAATATGAAAAGCCTTGTTGCAATCAAGAAATAGTGCACAGGCAATCATTTTATTGAATGCACCATGCTGGCCAGAGAAGTCTTCCAGAAGAGTCTGAGTGCTATTCTGCTGCCGAAAACAATACTGAAAGGCCGATACACCAAACTGACAGATAGCCACACTGACAGATGTGTTTTCATTTTGACAAAAATAGCAGATAATATGAATACAAGACCTAAGCAGCTTGGCCTCTGTGCAAAACTATTTCACGTCTAAAAAGACATTTCCTCACTCTGTTTTATTTAGCCACCACGTGCTATGGCTCAAGCGTCGCACTGCTTGTTCTAGTGTAGATATTGCCTTTTGTGCAGCCATCAGGCCAGCGATGCGCCAAGTATTCAGGGAGCGAAACCGCATAGTGAAGGCTGCTGACATCTACGCTACGTGGTGACATTTAAGCGGATATCATCTCACCACAGTTCCATCTTTCTAGAAATGCTCATTTAATGGAAAGCACGAAATATAATGATTCATAATGTGAATTTATCGCCTGTTTGGCACGTAAAACTTGCGGTGCAGGTACCGACGCCGCTGCCTCGCAATCGCGCTGAGCGTGCGTACCACGCCTGCTTGTCTAGTCAGTACGGAGACGTGTCCCTGCTGCACCAGTTCCTTGCCAACCGGTCACTGTCATGGCCCGAGAAACCCGCGACGTCAGCCAACCCGCTCGACGTGCTCCTTGACCTGGACATCAACTGGAATCTTGGTGCGCTAATACATTTCACGTACAGAGAGCGCGGCGTGGGTAGATGGGTATGAACGACGCTGTTCTTCGTCAAGCTTTCTTGTCCGAAGGCCACCGTAGATCGAAAATCATAGTTTACCCGAGGACAGTGGCTAAATTTTTCTACAGACATGTGCTACCTCTTTCACCACTGCCGCTAATCACTAGTCCCACGACTAACCACTACGCGTCCACTACTGCTCCAGCTACTACAATTACTTCAGTCACTCATTTCCTGCCCCGTCATTCCCACTTCATGGTAACTTCATCTCACTTCATTCAACACCCTTCACGCCACCAGATTATGTTTGATTAGTGTCCGCAGAGCGGAGCTGGATGACTTTTATTATGCAACAATACAACAATCGAAAGTCGGCCGCCTGTGCATAAACGATACACGCTGTTCGGTTGGATACTGTAACGAGGTTACAGTTTGAGTCGAGTGAATGACCGGGATGTCTAAAAAATGAGTCGCTCCACAGACTACTTAACAGAAAACTGGAGCCTTTAATCGCTGTGTAATGGCAGCAGTGATGGAAACTGTTATGGAATATTTTGTTGATTGAAATATTTAGTTAAAATTTCACAGCTGCGCTGCGAGATTACCGGAAAAAATTGGTGTTTAAAATTTATAACATTGTTGGAGCATTCTCAGACATAAGCGTAAGATTTTATATCAGGCATAATTTGTTCGGATATGTTTGCTTCCATTATTATCCTCCCTGTTTGCGTGTTGTTGCTTTTATAAGTATTTGATGTACCCAAGCCATCGTGGCATTTCTAGGAAATTGCTCAAAGGTACTTAGGAGTGCACCTTTTAAGACGTTCTTCGCTTTCACACCAACAGGCCTATGGTTTTCCGTGAGAGTCTCACCGATACCGGGCCACAACCGGCGACAGGTGCGCGTCGAGCCTGGCCTCGTGTCGAGCTCCTGGAAGAAGGGCCTGGACGCCCTGGTGCTTCGCGGAGTGTACGACGCCCGCGTGCGCCGTTTCTACAACCTGATGCGCACCAGCAACTTCGTTCCCATGAGCGATAAGTAAGAAGGCTTAACGTTTACCACCATGAGCCACGTCGCCTGTGTTGCATTTAGTGGTAAGCAGATGTGCCGCGTGGACACTGGACAAAACAATGTCAACGTAAAGAAATCAGTTTGCAAGAACGGCGACAGTGACATTGTTTTGTCCATTGGACAAAACACTGTCCTTGGTCGCACAGCACAAGTTTTCGGCATAGATATGGTATACAGTTAAATCCCTTTGTAAGAGAGAATGAGACATCAATGGGTATAAGAGACACTAGTGTGCCTACAGTGGAATAGAGGTTGATAAGAAAATGAATGCGTGAACTATGCTCATAAAAGACACCAATTATAAAAGACCAAAATAGCTGTCCAGTGCATGTCTCCTCTTACAAAGGAGTTAAACTATTGTCCCAAACATATATCCTATCGATACAATGAGACGCGGAACTCTCCCCTGTATAGATATTCTGAATGATTAGGAGTGGTGATTGTTTTCGTTAGAATAATTGGGTAATCTGCGCAGAAATGCAACTGTTCTAGACAACACATCAAAGTAGAAGGTGAGAAGGAAATTGTACCGTCATACTTTTACCTTTATTATACTTGTGTATGTCATGAAGAACACGAAAATTACTTTACCCTGTAGTTCTTATTTTTACTAAGTGATGGTTCCTACGATGGAGCCCGTCGTGATCGCGTGATTATAGCAAGCGCTGCAGTCAGACAGGTGTAAGGATTTCTTTCGAGAAATATGAATCATAGCGGCAGTGTCGCAGCGTTCAGCTTTACTCTTGTTCACTTCTTACCAACCACACAGCAATCAAGAGCACAAATTTCACTGTTGCAACACGAATTGAACATATAAAACAATCGCTGTGATATCCAACCCAATAAATGTTATCAGGTACACCTAGTTTGCTATTTTGTGGCAGTTTTTCTCTCACTTCCTGGTTGATCCAAGTACAGTCCGCAAAATGGTTCGGAGAACATGTTGGTCGAGAACGAATGAAAAGGTTTGGTTTTAAAGAATTGTGTGCTCCTATATTGCCTGGGTTCATTGGTATTATTTTAAACAGGTGCATTGTTATCTTGTTAAGGTCACATCTGCAATTAAGGTCATTTTCACACACAGGGATCTGGAAGCACTCCGCCACGATGAGTACGCTGTCGCTGGCGCACTGTCAGAAGCAGTAAACCGTGGCCAAAGTGAGCTCGCCTTCCAGCTAAAGCAGATCCAGAAGATAGCGACGCCACAAATCAGCGCCGCACAGTGGGCCACGTCCCTGAACCGCCACCTCAAGTTGACGCAGAGGTATGAACGCCGTCTCATGAAACAGGACATCAGGGTGTAACGCACCTCAGCCAGCAAACTTCATTCTTCAATTTAAGTGCGTAGCACTTTAGGCGAGTGGCTTCTTCTTTGCAAGTCGCAGTCGGCGTCATCACAACGACAGCGAAGTGATCGACACCAGCGTCAAACAGAACTAGTAATACTCTAGCATTTTAAAAAGCAAACGAACAAGGTCTGAACTGATATTCTTAACCAAAGTTGCAATAATAAACTTAAAAGTGAAAAAATTCGGGGACATGATGCTGAAACACCAAGCCACGCAGGTGAGGGCGCTATACCTCCTAGACGAGCGAGCGATTGTCTACCCCAACAGGTACTTGCCGGTGTTTACCGCTGCACCAAAAAGAGGAAACAAACTAACGGAACTCGCAGCAGACTGTAGACACGTAACTTTCGGAACAGCAGAGATGAGATTCGATAAACCGCAGCAAAGGTGAAGCGCATGTCGCACACCAAGATGGCGAATCTCCCCAACAAGAATTTTGCCAGAACACCGAAAGCGCTTACCTCTAAAATTGAGGCCATCCACAATTCGGTAAACGGAACAGTTGCCACTCGACGAACGGGAATACCTGGATGCCCGTTCGAGAACTTCCTCAGGTTTCGCAGCAGCGAAGCGGCGTGTAGCGCTGTATTCGGAACTACAACAATCGCTACAGAAGTTTTTTTGCTTCGTAGATCTTCCATATTCTGGAGAAGCAGGCCACACACGCGAGCTTCAGAAGACGGGTACATTGAGAAACAACATTTTCATAGCAGACAACTTTAACAGCAATGTTGATGTTGTCCCCCCTGTGACCGATCTACAAAATGCGTGTCATCACAGCCTCAATAATCAATGTGCCCTGGCTTTGAGCTCTTTCTTTTGCTGCTTTGAGCGTTTCACTACGCGGTCCACAAATACGATGCGAGTAATATTGTGTTTAAGATAACGAGCACTAGGTATACCGCATCGAGGGATCGCCCGCGCCCTTGTACTGCTTCCGACAAATGTATTCTTTACCCCATATATACAACTTCACAACGCTAGCTTATCCTCTGCTGCTGCTCACTGATTTGATTAGTTGATTGATTTGTGGGGTTTAACGTCCCAAACCACCATTTGAATATGAGATATGCCGTAGTGGAGGACTCCGGAAATTTTGACCACCTGGAGCTCTTTAACGTGCCCCCAAATCTGAGTACACGGGCCTACAACATTTCCGCCTCCATCGGAAATGCAGCCACCACAGCCGGGATTTGATCCCGCGACCTGCGGGTCAGTAGCCGAGTACCTTAGCCACTAGACCACCGTGGCGGGGCTTCCTGCTGCTCACTGTTTCCACTGCTTTAATGCAGCTCCTGTAGCTGTAAGATATCACCGCTCATACAAATTCAACATTTCTGTTGTAACGTCACCAGACCTTACGTTGTTCCGCTTATTATTAAAGACGCTGCTGCTGCTTCGTTCAACCTGGCCTCACTGATTCCGTGGCTCAGCTCTCAGTTTTTCTTGAAGCATTCTTCTTTCTATCCCTACTCATCAATATGGAGGCGTTGTTCCGCATGGTGGTTGACGCAGGGTAACTGACGCCGACCGCGTGCTGGCGACCAATGTGAAGCTGTTACAAGCGGTAGACGGTCTTCTAGAGTCGCTGCCGGCCGAGACGGTGTTGTACCAGCTGGGATGGGCGGCAGTGCAGCTCCTGGGTTGGATGGCCGACCCCACACTACCTGGAAGGCCGGTAGCCGCACGTCTTGTGGAACACCGGCACGCCGATTGCTTCTGGGCAGCCAACAGGGTTTTCGGACTGCCCTTCCTCTCCAGGTGACCGTACGAGCTTTCAGAAAGCTCTTTCATCTGCGCGAAAGTTAAAGAGCATTGGCAGGCAAGACTTATATGCTCAACTCGACAAAACTTTTCTGTCACTGCTTTTAATTTCACTGCCTCACTCGGTCCAGTGATTGTCTGCTCTAACAGGTGAGTGGCTATCGAGTCTGTAAACGTGTAAATCCAGTTATTTCCAGCATGAACATTTGAAATTTAACGTGTTTGCACACGTGTACCACAAAACCTCAAACTTATATTGAAGGTTCGCCACACTAATATCAATTTGGGAAGCACTGGAGGAAGCAACGGGTTGTGAAGGTGGCAGCGTTATTCTGCATTCTGCTGTTGTGAAACCATCACGCGTGACAGTGCGCATGATCCTTGATGCGTAACAAGAATGCGCAATGTTTCTATATCTCAAAAACTCGCATCATCATGCAAATGCCAGATCATGCACTTCAGCGAAAAACTTAGGTGGTAGCGGAAAGCCTTGCCTAGGTTGCTATCGGCGTCAAATGAAGCCAACAGCGGAAATCATTCCAAGTGGCATAGTGTGCACCCCCCCACTCCCACCACCCGTTGAGCGGTCATCACTTTGACAGGCACGCGCAACCATGCAGTTTGGCAGCAATGCACATATAAGCCTGACTTTCGATTGATATGTCGAGTTTAACGTCCCAAAACCACCATATGATTATGAGAGACGCCGTAATGAAGGATTCCGGAAATTTCGACCACCTGGGGTTCTTCATTGTGCACCCAAATCTGAGCACACGGGCCTACAACATTTCCGCCTCCAACGGAATTGCAGCCGCCGCAGCCGAGATTCGCTCCCTCGACGTGCGGGTCAGCAGCCGAGTATCTTAGCCACTAGGCCACAGCGGCGGGGCAAGCCCGCCTTTCCATGGTGAGTACTGAACGCCTCGTACTAGGCTATTCCGCATGCTTGCCGCTGTTCAGGTTTCATTTGACGGCGATACTATTGACCATTCCCAGGTTTTACGCAGCTGAGTCAAAAAACAGTCGGCTGATATTCTGGCTCCCATGATTGTGCGGAGAAGGCTCGAAATTCAAGTGTATCTGTCTTGTGCATCCTGTTTGTATGAAACAGCAAGATGGAGACATGCCTGGATAACACTGTTGAATGAAGAGCACGGGTATGGCATCCTGTGCTCTGAAATGCTCACGGAATTGAGCGCGTCAGTGCACGCACGCCCGGGCGTAGCAATACGGCTTGTTTTTCGGGAGCAATTGCAAATGCTTGGGTTGACATTGGGGCGCACTGATGTAAGCTAAATAGCGCTCCACTGGGAGGAATGAGCAGAGTATTGAATTCTGCCATAAAACGAGCGCCACGCAACTTTCTTCTTTTCTTTTTCGTTCAGCCAAGATCCGCGAATTTTTTTGAATATTATTATTAATATTATATGGCGTTTTACCGCTCACAACCACGATGGATCATTGGAGACTCTGTAGTATAGGTCATTTCATGTTCTTTAGCGTGCACTGATAACGTACAGTACATGGGGTCTAGCCTATTTCATCTCCATTGAAATCCGACCGCCGCAGCCGAGATTAAACTCGCGACCTTTGGGTCCGCCGCCAAGGCTGGTAAATCGTTTCTCTACCGCAGCTGAAAATTGTTTGTGCTCCGGTATAATGGCTCCGCAACATTGTGATATAAGGACGTTGATATCGGACAAACTAACTGCTCTGAGTGATCTTTTTTCGAAAAAAAATATTGGGTGGAAATGCCGGTGCATGACAAGCGACGTACTGGGCGACAGTCTAATTCATAGACGAACTAAGATACGAAAATATTTCCATGCACTTAATCTTCCAGAATAAGACTTGGTAGTGCCTTTGTTTCTGTGCAACGGTTTAAATAATCAGTAGCGATGATTATTTACTGTTTCTCAAGACGACAAGGATAACAAACGGGCTCACTCGGTACATGGGGCAACGTGTTCGAATGGTGTCCTGTGTGGCTCGATAGGGTGAAGTAATCCCACACGCTGAACTGATTGGGAGTTTAGGCACTGGCATTTGTAGAATAGGATTGAATGTATTGTTTAACGGGAACGCAAAGTTTCGGCCAATAATAAGACATGCGTGCCCCATCGGGAGAGTTCGGGTGGTGTCCGGGTGGGCGGTTGAAGGTTTGTCGTGGCAGGCAAAGAGAACTTTGTCACTGAGCTCTGCTGAAATGAACAACAGATAAGTTTGCTTGCTGGCAGCAGCGTTCTTCTTGTACAACACGCCCTGTCACAGACAAAAGGATGAGAATTGACGAGCTAATGCAGGCGCTGAAATTCGTTGTGGCCGTCGAGATGTTCAGTTATAGCTTGCAATTTAGCATCTGCTCGCTGCTGTCCAGCTATCATCATCATCATCAGCCTGATTACGTCCACTGCAGGACAAAGGCCTCTCCCATATTCCGCCAGTTAACCCGGTCCTATGCTTGCTGTTGCCAATTTATACCAGCAAACTCCTTAATCTCATCTGCCCACCTAACCTTCTGTCTTCCCCTAACCCGTTTCCCTTCTCTGGGAATCCAATTAGTTACCCTTAATGACCAGCGGTTATCTTGTCTACGTGCTACATGCCCGGCCCATGTCCATTTTTTCTTCTTTATTTCAACTATGATATCCTTAACCCCCGTTTGTCCCCTAATCCACTCTGCTCTCTTCTTGTCTTTTAGGGTTACACCTACCATTTTTCTTTCCAGTGCTCGCTGCGTCGTCTTCAATTTAAGCTGAACCTTCTTTGTAAGTCTCCAGGTTTCTGCTCCGCAGCTAAGTACTGGCAAGATACAGCTGTTATATACCTTCCTCTTGAGGGATAGTGGCAATCTATCTGTCATAATTTGAGAGTGCTTGCCAAACGTGCTCCATCCCATTCCTATTCTTCTAGTTACTTCAATCTCGTGGTTCGGCTCTGCGGTTATTACCTGCTCTAAGTAGACATAGTCTTTTACAACTTGAAGTGCACTATTACCTATATCGAAGCGCTGCTCTTTTCCGAGGTTGTTGTACATCACTTTCGTTTTCTGCAGATTAATTTTAAGACCCACCTTTCTGCTGTCCTTGTGTAACTCCGTAATCATGAGTTGCAATTCGTCCCCTGAGTTACTCGGCAATGCAATGTCATCGGCGAAGCGCAGGTTACTAAGGTACCCTCCATTAACTCTTATTCCTAACTGTTCCCATTCTAGGCTTCTGAAAACCTTCTGTAAGCACGCGGTAAATAACATTGGGGAGATATTGTCTCCCTGCCTTACACCCTTTTTGATTGGTATTCTGTTGCTTTCTTTATGAAGCACTATGGTAGCAGTTGGTACCCTGTAGATTTCTTCCAGAATGTTTACATATACTTCATCTACGCCCTGATTCCGCAGTGTCTGCATGACGGCTGATAATTTCTACTGAATCAAACGCCTTCTCGTAATCTATGAAGGCTATGTATAGTGGTTAGTTATATTCTGAGCATTTCTCTATTACCTGATTGATAGTATGAATGTGGTCAATTGTTGAGTAGCCTGTTCGAAATCCTGCTTGTTCCTTTGGCTGATTGAATTCTAATGTTTTCTTTACTCTGTTAGCAATTACCTTTGTAAATAGCTTGTATACTACAGAGAGCAAGCTGATCGGCCAGTATATTCTGCAAGTCGTTGTCAGCTCCTTTCCTATGTATTATTCTGAGCATTTCTCTATTACCTGATCGATAGTATGAATGTGGTCAATTGTTGAGTAGCCTGTTCGAAATCCTGCTTGTTCCTTTGGCTGATTGAATTCTAATGTTTTCTTTACTCTGTTAGCAATTACCTTTGTAAATAGCTTGTATACTACAGAGAGCAAGCTGATCGGCCAGTATATTCTGCAAGTCGTTGTCAGCTCCTTTCCTATATATTCAGATGATGTTAGCGTTCTTTCAAGACTCTGGCACTCTTCCCGTCAGGAGACACCTCGTAAACAGGGTGGCTAGTTTTCTTAACACAATCTGTCCTCCATCTTTCAGCAGATCTGATGTTACCTGATCCTCACCAGCAGCTTTGCCTCTTTGCATGCTCTCCAAAGCTTTTCTGACTTCTTCTATCATTACTGGTGGGGTGTCATCTGGGTTACTGCTAGTTCTTATAGTATTAAGGTCGTGGTTGTCTCGGCTACTGTACAGATCTCTGTGAACCCCCTCCGCTATTTTAACTATCCTATCCATATTGGTAGTTATTTTACCTTCTTTGTCCCTTATTGCATACATCCGACTTTTGCCTATCCCAAGTTTCCTCTTCACTGGTTTGACGCTTCTTCCGTTTTTCAGAGCGTGTTCAATTCTCTCCGTGTTATACCCTCTTACATCGCAAACCTTACGCCTATTAATCAACTTCGAAAGCTCTGCCAGTTCTATTTTGTCTGTTGTACTTGAGACTTTCATGATTTGACGCTTCCTAATTAGATTATTCGTTTCCTGGGAAAGCTTGCCAATGCCCTGTCTAACTACCCTGCGCCCCCCTTCCACTTCACACTCCGTAATGATACTCGTCAGATTATCATTCATTGTATCTACGCTAAGGTTCGTTTCCTCATTAAGAGCCGAGTACCTGTTCTGAAGCGACACTCTGAATTCCTGTACTTTCCCTCTCAGTGCTAGCTTATTGATTGGCTTCTTGCGTTTCAGTTTCTGTCGTTCCTTTTTCAAGTCTAGGTGAATTCGAGTCCATGCCATTCTATGGTCACTGCATCGTACCTTGCCAACCACTTCCACATCCTGCACGATTCTTGTGTGTGCACTCATTATAAGGTCTACTTCGTTCTTATTTTCGCCATTAGGGCTCCTCCATGTCAACTTGCGGTTTTCTCGTCTTCGGTAGAAGGTATTCAAAATCCGTAAATTATTGCATTCTGCGAATTGTACTAGTAGCTCTCCTCTGGCGTTTCTAGTACCGATGCCATAATCTCCTTCTCCCTGGTCTCCAGCCTGCTTCTTCCCTACCTTTGCATTAAAAACGCCCATCACTATAGTATACTGTGTACCTTACTCATTGCCGATTCCACGTCTTCGCAGAAGCTTTCAACTGAAGCGTCATCATGCCTGGATGTAGGCGCGTAAGCCTGTACCACCTTCATCTTGCATGTTTTATTCAGTTTAACTACGATACCTACCACCCTTTCATTAATGCTATAGTATTCCTCTATGTTGCCAGCTATGTTTCTGTGAATTAGAAACCCCACTCCCAGTTCTCTTCTGTCTGCCAAGCCTTGATGGCAAAGGATGTGCCCATTATTTTGCACCGTATAGGCCTCATCTGTCCTCCTAACCTCACAGAGCCCTATTACATCCCATTTACCACGCTCTAGCTCCTCTAATAGCACAGCTAGACTTCCCTGACTGGATGAGGTTCTAGCGTTAAACTTTGCCAAGTTGAGGTTCCAATGGCGGCCTGTCCGGATCCAGAGATTCTTAGCACCCTCTGCTGCGTTGCAGATCTGACCACCGCCGTAGTCAGTTGCTTCGCAGCTGCTGTAGACTGATGGCCGTGAGTTATTTGACGTATGCATGTGGGAGGTAGTGGCCAGATACTGCACCAGGGTGGCCAATCCTTCTCTGGTGAGGGAGTGCGTTTCCGGCGGTGGTTACCGATGAGGCCGCGCCCCAGGCCTCTTAATGCAGTTCCATCACCACGCGGATTTTTTATCCGGTTGCGAACTGCGTGGCACCGGGATTTGAACCACGGACCTTTTGCATACGAGGTGGATGCTCTAACCACTACACCATCACCGCAATGTCTAGCTTTATACGTCTGTTTTGCGTACGGCTCCAAGGAAAGGGTGGTCGTCTGCGAAGTTTTGAGCGGCAGGCTAAAATTGCCACGCGTAGATATTTTGTGCACTCGAAGACCAATGATGAGTTGTTGAAGAGTTTAAGTGGTGTGATATAGCCTATAGCTGCGTTTAGGGATTATTAACAGAATATTAGGGGCTGCGAGTGGTCGTTCAGAAACTTCTGCCTTGAAATTTCGAGAAGCGAACGATAAAACAAGTCAAGTGAAAGCAGGCCGTGTTTGAAGGAAAAGCTCCGAATCAACCAAAACTTTCACTCCATGGCTGTTTATTGTGGCTAGTCATCGTGCTATTCTCACCGACCCAAAACAAAGTTTGAAATCTTGCACCCAGGTCACTTCAAGCTGCCGAGTGTGCGATATTGATTTAAAGAAAAGGCACCGTACCCAGAGAAACGGTTCTTCGGAGGACCTATGCCGGATGCAATGAACTTAAAAGCTATGACACGATGTCCGCTTAAGAGAAGAATAGCGTACTACACTTGCTTTTCCCAGCACAGTGCCATTCCGGCTACTTTTGGGTACCTCAAGGAAACCAAAACATTTGGCATCACGTTCCATCCCATGAGCATTTAGCGGTTGCATATTCCACGGGATTCATTGCTCATTCATGCGTATGACCCGAAGAAAACATTCGCTTAAATTTCTCGCAGTTACATCAACACCAAGTATCCACCACGCGTCCAGTCCGAAGTGGACGACGTCATCATGGGCGTCACACAGGCGGCGATCGGACTGTTCATGAGAGCGTCCTGGATAGACGCCGAGACGCGTGAGGCGGCCGTGGAGAAGCTGCGCCGCGTGAACACGTCACTGTGTCCACCGGGCGGCTTGTTAAACGCCTCCGAGACGGACGCCTTGCTGGAACACTTTCCTGAGCCCAGGGACGACGTCTTCCGCTACTGGCTGGACGCCCTTGAAGTACGGAGGAAGCTGCTCAAGAGGAAGGACCTGGAACGAGCCCTGCACAGCGACGACGTACAGGCGCAGCGGGCTCTATTCAGGTTAATTGAGAGCTTACTTCACTATGCAGTAAATACAAACATACCAGCAGAAGGAGTGCCAATTTGAAAAGGGGAAAGTTGACTATACAATTCTCCGACATCGCACGCCAAGCTCTGAATATAAGAGTTAACGATGCTTCTCAAGTACCTCTTTGCGTATACGTTAGCCGAACTTGCATAATTAGCATGCTATGAAGGCTCTGTACGTGTTGCCGTGCTGGTAGAAGCAACTGAATCACTTCAACTTTGGATACAACACAACATACAACTCTAGTAGTTACATACAGTGTTATTTTTGAAAAGTGATTGCATGTCACATTGAGTGAAAAAGCTACCAACCTTAAAACGTAGTTTAAAGGAAGTTGAGTGAAATTGAAATATCTTATGGTGAATATGTTGCAACAAATTTACATTTGTTCACGTCGTTTTTAAAATACCTTACATGATTCCCATTTGAAAAAATCACTCTTATCCGCAATATTAACAGACTGTCACGCCGCCTAGCGGAATTAAGGAGCGTCCTCTCATGGATGATCAGTAGGCCTAAGCTCCAATGCTGCCTTGTTTGGCGGTGCTAGCCGCACTGTGAATGCGTTAGCAAGAAACGAACACAAATTTGTTTCTATGCTTCGTGCATCAATGAATATACCGGACTGTCCTTGACATGATAAATCTGATTCGTTCATTCGAGACGCGAAGTTTTCGTGAAAATACGTGGCAACTTGCGCTTTCGATGATAGACCGCAGAGTGCACATATCAGCTTCGCTAGATTTCGTGCAGTCACTTTGGATAGTTAAATGTTAACGTCTGACTATTTCAGTTAAAACTCGCCTTGTTTTACGTGCGTATAGCATTCGTCAGTGCTCTTGTAGGGCATGAACCCCACAACATTTATTGTACGTGGAAAGTAGCACAGGTTGCCCCGCCACGATGGTCTAATGGCTAAGGTACTCGGCTGCTGACCCGCAGGTCGAGGGATTGAATCCCGGCTGCGGCGGCTGCATTTTCGATGGAGGCGGAACTGTTCTAAGCCCGTGTACTCAGATTTGGGTGCACAGTAAATAACTTCAGGTGGTCCGAATTTCCGGAGTCCTCCACTACGGTGTCTCTCGTAATCTTATGGCTGTTTCGGGACGTTAAACCCTACATATAAATCAAAGTAGCACAGGTTCGTGATGTGCGCTTCCGAACCTTGACTTACACTGCGCTGCTTGTTTTTTTTTTATGTTCGCTGATAGATGGCAGCACACTGCTAGCAATTCTTTTCTTGCCGTGTATCGAAGCGAAGTCATCTCCGCTCTCTCAGATAAACGTGGTGAGCGACGCCGTGTGGGTGATGTGCATGGTGAAAGACGCATTGTTTGTGCTATCGAAGTCGTTTGGTGGAGAAAATTCTTCAGATCTCTTTCAATAGTGATGTTCAAAGAAACCGCCTTGACATGATGGATTTCGCACTGGACGTAGATGGTTGTCTACGCGTGACAGCTATGATGAACGATCAGCTGCCAGCTCACGAGCAGAGAGTTGCACTTCACATCCCGTCATGGGCTGGTTTTTTTTTTCACGCACGTAAGTCACTTAGATTGAATTTATTGTATAATGTCCTTCAGCAAGCTCAAAATAAAATCATACTTTTTTTCTGCATTGAATGTATCCCAAATACAGTGGATATTACAAAGCGCCGCATGCCGGCAACGCGCTCGAGCTCGACCAGCGAAGCGAAATGGTTAGAGCAGTGAAATATGCAGTGGTGACTACTGTCCGCGCTAACTTCTCCTGTACTTCATTCGACAAATGTTCGTAATTTTGACGTTGTGAAAAGCGTATGCGTGTATTCGTTTTGATATCCCTGTTTCCGGCCATCGCCTTGATGAAACTTGCAACATCTGAGTGCAGCGAATTGCGCAGTGCTGGAATCATATCGTCGCTGGGACCAAAGTGCTACTGATTGATTGATATGTGGGGTTTAACGTCCCAAAACCACTATATGATTATGAGAGACACCGTAGTGGAGGGCTCCAGAAATTTAGACCACCTGGGGTTCTTTAACGTGCGCCCAAATCTGAGCACACGGGCCTACAACATCCAAAGTGCTACTGAATGGGAAGTTAAATGCTTGTGTTTCGTTGAAGCAGCAGCTACTTGATGCTTACAGCGCAAGTAACGATGGCGGAAAAACCCTTGATGATCAAAGGTTCTTCCGGTGAAAGCAGCACGGGGAGTACGTCCGTGCGTCTAATCTTTTCTTATGAGAGCTCACAGGTTGGTAATCCTTCCGCAGCCATCTTGGATTGCACGGCGCGCCATCTATAGGCCATGGACATTGCGAACTGCACTTATGCGAGCTCTCAAACTGTTTTTGGAATATCGTTGTGGTTTTTGCTGCGGCCGCACGATCCTGCTTGCGCATTCATGATGTGAGTCACGTGATCAGGCTACTTTTCTTTAGTTACACGGGTCACACCAAGCATATGTTCCTATATGAGAATGATCTTGTCGCGTGAAGCCTACTTACAGCCACTTGTATGGCTCCCCGGGTTTTTCGACGAGCAGCACACTGGTGTTATAAACGCTACAGTGTACAAGCATGGAATGTTGAGCGTGCCAGCTCGTTGTCATGTGCTCTTGTGCACGCGGGACCAGATACGCTTGGTTATGCATATCAGTGAATCTGAAGAGAGCTTTACTCAGTGCCAGGACACAGAAACCCACAATTAGGTAAATAGTCAAAAGCTCTGCCCATATTCTAATTAGACCGAGTGAACCTAGTATGTTGGGTGTGTATTATTTAGCTAATACTTCCATGCCTCAGGTTTTCGCGTGTACTGAAGAAAGGTTAAACACGGAAGCCACGTATATATAGACTAAAAAAGAGAGGGGACAGGATAGAGCGTCACTTCTAACTGAATTATTTTCAAAAAGGGGCTATTTTTTTATATACACGAAAACATGTTCGCAGCATTGTTGCGCAGAACAATGTCAAAGAATGCCACGCCTATGGGAATGTTCGACATTGTCATTGCGCTCCTTCTCTACGTCTATGGCTGACAGACGTGTCACTGATGCACGCACCTCATTTCAGATTGATACATTATACGGTCCCAAATATTGCAGGTACCACTACTACACGAACGAGCTGTCCGTCTCGCTCCACGCCCTCAATAGTCCACTCTTTGTGGAAGGTGGTGGCCGTACCGTCAACATGGCCGGACTTGGCGCGCAGTACGCTGCGGCACTTGCGAGGGCCTTTGACTCGCGGGGCGTACTTCTCGAGGGCCGCGGCGGGACTTCGTCAGGTCTCTGGTGGGCCAGGGCTTCGTACCACGAGTACGAACATAGGACTGGTGCATGTGCGGGAGAAGCCCACGGAGAGGCCTCTCTTGTCGGTGACTTGGAGCCCTTCGAAGGCGTCGCTGCGCTAGAGATAGGTGCGTGGTAGTGTTTTTAGTTTGACTAATGTTCAGTGACATATATCAATGACCGATGTTATATGCACCATGGAGTGCGCTGACATGGAAGTGGTAATGTGCGAACGGGTAGCATTGTACAGACTTGTCGGTGAATCATCAGAATAACTTTTATGCAGCATGAAATCAAACAAGGATAGGAGAATGCATATAAGGACATTACACAGAGTTTTACGTGGTATCCTTGTACGCCTTCTCGTGTCCATGTTTCGCTTCGTGCTACACATAAGTTGCTCCTGTTATGTGCTTGGTGATTGGCAACGTATACAACATATCGCTACTTGTGAGTGTCAGTGTTTATCTCACAGACATAAGAAAGGTTAACTGGGCAATCAGTGTTATTCCATCTTGAACGAACCAACAGATAAGCGAGGACCAAAAGGGGAGTGACGTACTACAGTGCTAAATTGCAAATATTTATTTTGAAATCAGGCAGAATAAAGGCGTCCGGAAAAAAGTTACAAACGGGAAAAGTGCGCGGTGAAAAAAAAGAAAAAAGTTTTTGATTTGACAAGCTAATGTGGCGTATAAAATTCAATATTCTTGCGATAGTCGTTACATCGGTAGAATTGTCTGAGCCTAAATAATAAAATCCAGGAGCCTACCCTAACTTTTTTCAATAGCACAGGCTCGCATCTGGCCAATCATTATTACAGAAGAGCATGTTACCCAAGTTTTGAATGTTGCATTGCCACAGAGATCAGTGCACGCGAGAAATCACAGAGGCATCACTAGAAGGTCGCAAGTGCATCAAAGAGCCGTCGTCGGTATAATCAGATGCGGAAGTGTCATACCTCATGCCATGTTCATGTCTTCTCAGTCTCAAAAGGTCTTTATGCTACTTTTTGTCACCCATAGGTTGGCGGACTTGCTACTCAGTCCACTCACTTGGACTCACTCAGACTCTGATCAAGCCGTGAGTCTTAGTGAGTTCTGGTGAGTAATATTCTTGTGAGTTTGATTCCGAGTGAGTCCTGCTGAAAAAAAAATCACAGGATATCCACGGAGTGAATAATGAAGAGTGAGGCGAAGCGCTCTAGGATTATATATACAAATACTGTATATGTTTATACAGAAAATCATACAATTTCTAAGTGTTAGCTATACGTCACTTTCGTTTCCCCTTCATTGTAACGGCTTTGTGGTCGGTGAAGTGGTGGATCGATGATGGGGCACAGTGGGATGTTTTGCAAGGACGAAATAGTGGGCAGTTTGCAAAGGTGGAACTGTAGGTGGACGTATACAAACAAGGAATTGGCACTGTGAGACAATCAATCTGTGGTTCTTTAACACGCACCCGAATACGAGTACACCACCATTTTGCATTTCATATTGGCCACTTCTGAACAGTATTTGCTTCATGGTCGGTGTTCTGGCACTTGACCTGGAAAAGGCTTTCGACAAGGTCAAACACTCTCACATACTTTATTCCATTAAAGAAGCAGGTCTAGGAGAAAATTTCACAAGTACATCAGCTCATTTCTTAAGAATAGAAAAGCTACCATTCGACTAGGATCTCTCAGCTCGAAGACGTTTGATCTTTGACCCAGAGGCACTCCACAAGGGGCAGTGCTATTCCCATTTTTATTTAACTTATCGCTGAAAGCCCTTTTCCACAGTCTGGCCATGATTGAAAGTCTCGGTCACGCTTTCTACGCCGATGACATCACCGTGCGGTGCGAGGGAGGTAGTGATGGGCAAATTGAAGAGCGATTACAAACAGTCGTCAGGGATGTTGAAGATTTTCTTCACTAAGCAGGACACTGCTTGTCAGCTAATGAATCGGAACTGCTCCTTTACCAGCCAACAATCGGTGCAAAGAAAGGAAGTTCCCCGATATCTTGATCATCACAACGAGCGGCTCTATTATACCGATCGTAAAGAAAGTTAGAATCATCGGTATGTTCCTCGAGGAGGATGGCAGTAACACCTACACGTTAGAACGCATCGCAGCCAAAGCCGATTTCATGACAAAACTAATCACGAGGGTGGCCAACAAACGAGGGGGGTTATCCGAGGAGAACCTTCGTAGACTCTTTCACGCCTTCCTAATGAGCCACATCAACTACATCGCCCTGAGCCACAAGTGGAGCAGGAGGGATCAAGCCCGATTAGAATAACTAATTCGCAAGAACATAAAAAAAACGTACAGGGTCTCCCACAGAGCACCAGTACAGAACATCTATTGGCGCTGGGTGTCCACAACATCTTTAGAAAAATAGTAGAGTCACAATAGGTCGCCGAAGTTACAGGACTGGCTTCCACGGAGGCTGGCAGACAGTTACTAGCGCATATTGGTATACGGTTTCCCATCACCAGACAGAGGGAGTTCGCGCTCCCTATCAAAGTCAGGAAAATGTATACTGTATCTCAGGTACCCAGAAACATGCCCCCCAATACAACTACGGCAGACGCAAAGCAGGGGCCAGAGCCCTTCTTCGAATAGCGGCTACGATTGAGGACAACGTCGCCTTCGTTGACGCAGCGCAATACGCAGCTTCCAATCACTTTGTTTCAGCAGCTACGTCGTTACGGGGAGAGCTGCTGAAATCACTTACGCTCGAAAATTCGGATATCGAAAAAGCCGATTAAGTAGCAGTGGCCATCGCCATGGCCACTACGAACCATTCTGCTTTTTACACGGACTCGCGAGCGGCCACTAGAGCATTTATGAAAAGCTCGGTGTGCAAAGAAGCCACTCGCGTTCTCTCTGCTGCATCTTGAACAGGCAAAAAACATATAATTTGGTTCCCTGGTCACGTGGGCAGTGATGCTCACGAAACCATCCCAAACGCCAACGAACTTGCACACTCCCAGGCGCGAGGTCTCACTCATCGCACCGGAAGTGGGCGCTCGGAGGCCGAGAGAGGGCAGTGGTTTTAACGAGGTCTGTAAGCCCTATCAGCTGGGGCGTCGGAGGTTTCCGCTTCCACACCCACACTTAAATACACCACAGGCAATCACCCTGCGAATGCACCAAACAAACACGTATCCATGTCCGTTTATTTGGTCAAAATTTATATACGGAATAGACCCACGTTGTCCGCGCTGTGGTCATCCGAGGTGCACCCTCCATCACATGCTGTGGCAGTGTCATGACTTGAACGGGGGCTCAGGGTCTCCCTCCACTGAGGAAGACTGGCTCGAGATAATCACCAGCTCCGCAAAGAACCAGCAGCCAAGAGCTGTTCAGAGAGCCCACGAAGTCGCCGATAGCCTGAACCTCCCGGCGCCATCATGGGTGAGCCCCAGGATGTTCTTCTGACGGGGGTCATTCACGTCTTCTAGGACAAAATTAAAGTTCCTTTATGACAGACTGACTGAGATGTTTGCAAGGACGAAGTAGTGGGCAGCTGGCAAAGGTGGAACTATAGGTGGTCATATGCATACATACATACATACATACATACATACATACATACATACATACATACATACATACTACATACATACATTTATACATACATACATGCATACATCCATACATACATACGTACAATCATACATACATTTATACATACATACATGCATACATACATACATACATACGTACATACATACGTACATACATACATATATACATACATACATACATACATAATACATACATACAGCCTGGACCTGCCGGCGCCATCATGGGTGGGGCCCCCAGACGGTACTCCCTGACGGGGGCATTCTCGTCTTCTCAGGACCAAATAAAGTTCCTTGACTGACAGACTGACTGAGATGTTTGCAAGGACGAAGTAGTGGGCAGCTGGCAAAGGTGGAACTATAGGTGGTCATATGCATACATACATACATACATACATACATACATACATACATACATACATACATACATACATACATACATACATACATACATACATACATACATACATACATACATACATACATACATACAAACAAACATAAATACATACATACATACATACATACAGCCTGGACCTGCCGGCGCCATCATGGGAGGGGCCCCCAGACGGTACCCCCTGACGGGGGCATTCTCGTCTTCTCAGGACCAAATAAAGTTCCTTGACTGACAGACTGACGGAGATGTTTGCAAGGACGAAGTAGTGGGCAGCTGGCAAAGGTGGAACTATAGATGGTCATATGCATACATACATACCTACATATGTACATACATAGGGCAGCTGGCAAAGGTGGAACTATAGGTAGTCATATGCATACATACATACATACATACATAAATACATACATACATACACACATACATACGTACATACATACATACATACATACATACATACATACATCATACATACATACATACATACATACATACATACATACATACATACATACATACATACATACATACATACATACATACATACATACATACATACATACATACATACATACATACATACATACATACATACATACATACAGCCTGGACCTGCCGGCGCCATCATGGGTGGGGCCCCCAGACGGTACCCCCTGACGGGGGCATTCTCGTCTTTTAAGGACCAAATAACATTTTATGACTGACGGACTGACTGAGATGTTTGCAAGGACGAAGTAGTGGGCAGCTGGCAAAGGTGGAACTTTAGGTGGTCACTACATACATACATACATACATACATACATACATACATACATACATACATACATACATACATACATACATACATACTACTACATACATACATACATACATACATACATACATACATACATACATACATACATACATACATACATACATACATACCATACATACATACATACATACATACATACATACATACATACATCTATACAAGGGATGGACGGACCCCCGCCTCTAGGAGCTTCGCCCGTAAAAAACTTCAGTGAGCATGATTTCGAGTGAGTCCGGCTCGGGAGAATTTCGGTTTGTCTGAGTAATGAGCTGCACAATTTCGGCTGACCTATGTTGTCACTTTGCGCACGTGCGATGGTAGTTTGTTTTCATTATTTTCCCCAAATGCAATTTCTTCTGCTTCGTTCTATATTCAGCACTGTATTGTGTCGTTCTTCTCAGCCTCATTTTATTTCGCACTGTTTATTCGTTAAAGATGTTAGCTTGAGCAGGCGGGCACCCTGTACGAGTTCATTTTGCAGTGCTTAGTCCACATTGATGAAGAGTCGTAGCCTACACCATCCTGCTTCGCGGTCAGGGATACCCTCGCAACGAGTAGCAATACTGACTCAATTATGCCATTTGTCACGTGGCATCGTATAACATAACTGCACAGACTGGCGACGGAAGCGTGTGCGGTTGAATTCTAGTGTTCAGTGGCCTTCTGTGTTCTTTACCTGTGAGCACAGTTTTGCTGTCAATTATGCAAGGTAAGTCCTTATATAAACACAAAACTGTGATAACCGTAACTTATAGAACATGGGAAGTGCATGTTTAGTCGAACGTTATGTATAGAGCTGCTAGTTTTGTTCACTTTATTAGTTATTCAGTTTCAAATATATACATCACAATACCAATTCGCTTGCTTTCATACCATAAGTAAAAAGTTGTTACACGAGCAAGGAATAGGGCTCGACCTAACTATCAAGTCCAATAATCACGTTTCTCAGTACGACACGTACTTCAACAATACACAAAATGTTTCACGCTTCCGTACACTCCACTGCATTTAACCTTGTTACTAATACGGTACGCGACACTGTGCGTCCCCGACAGCGCATGCCGCCTTTGGCGCAACTCACTGGATGAGCGACAAAGGTCGGCGTCCGCGGCGCAGCTTCCTGGGCCTCAGCGAGGAGCAGGCGTTCTTCGCGTCGTTCTGCCAGGCGCACTGCGCCCGCGAACCCACGGTTCGCCAGCGGCTCTCCTGCACGCTGCCGCTGAGGAACTACCGAGGCTTCGCGGCAGCCTTCGCGTGCCCGGCCGGATCGCCGATGAACCCGGCCAAGCGGTGCGGCTTCTTCAAGAGCGACCGGCCTTACGTCGCCATTCCGGGCTTTGTCGCGACGCAGCCGGCAACGCGCGACCCCAGTGGATCCGGCGACCCTGTGTCGCTGACATCCACGCCATTAGACGCGGGCGCTTTTTGACGCCAATGGCGCGACGTGATTGCGGCTCCACGTTGCGTGGAGCTCATGCGGCGCCACGATCGCTCTCGCCCCACATTATTGGGCGAGTTATATATGACTGTATTTATAAAAGTACATTTGATTATGGCGAAATACCCGTGGTACACAGCTTTTTTTGTATATTGTGTTTGTTCTAGCGGAAGTGAGGTTAAAAAATATAATTCTGATAATGAAGGAACTATTCTGTTTTTTTTTTTTTTTGCGAAGCACATGCAGCGTGTAGCGTGAGGGGTCTAAAATTTAGATAGATATATTTTTGAGGAATATCTGTTCCAAGTCAATAATTTCGCTTGCTCCATTCTAATAAGCATAGAATAAACTATTGTGTTCCTAAGCTGTTGTGTATCACACTCGGCCAAACAGCACCTTTTTCCCCTCTGTAAGCGAACACATGTGTCTCGGTAACAGATCCCATATGTTGTGTTTTAACAGAACATTTTGCACCTTGCCACTGGCGAGGCATGCCGTGAAAGCGAGTGAGTGGCAAGCTACAAAAACAGATAACGTGCATGGGCATTAGCAAATACAAAGTACAAAAGAAAGGCTATCCTGTTCCTTCGAAATTTTTGTAAAATGAACGTTTCTTGAAATTTCTGAGCAATCAGTGTTCGTCAAAAAAAAAACAAATTTCAGGAGGTCGATCACGCATATTGTGGGAATCTATTGCAAGCGGCTCAGCGACTATAGCTACAGAGTGTATTGACGTCTTTGAGTAGTTTGGGCAACTTTGTGCATCATGCCAGTTTACCAAGCACGCTGATGGCGTCTAAAAAGCGCCTGACTTCCCGACGTAACACCGGATTTCAAGTTGCATCAAAACAGCGTATCTCGCTTATCCCCTTAGGGGCGAGCTGCGGCAGACTTGTTGATTCATAAGAGTACATGTCTATTTTCGCTGGCCGCGTATGATATGAGCTGTAAATCACCTGAGCCGCGTAACTGCTGCCTTTACATTTGACTGTGCGATCTCGCGACGTAGGCGACAGGCACGTTATGTTTGTGAGGGCATGTCAGTCGTAATGATAATCTGACGAGTATCATTACGGAGTGTGCTGTGCAAGTTAGAGGGGCGGTAGTTAAGACATTGGCAAGCTGGCCCTGAACATGAAGAACCTCATTAAGAATCGTGGAAGCATGAAAGCCTCAATCACGACAGAGCGAATAGAACTGGCAGAGCTTTCGTAGCTGATTGATAACAGTAAGGTATCCGATGTAAGAAGGTTTAATGAAGAGAATTGAACACGCTCCCAAGAACGGAGGAACTGTCAAAGCGGCGAAGAGGACAATACTTAGGGCAAAAACCAAATGTATGCTCTAAGGGACAAGGAAAGCAATGTAACTACCACTATAAATAGGATAGTCAAAATAGAGGAGTTTTGATGATGATGTTTGGTGTTTTGTGGCACAATTGAGGGCCATTTGATGACGAAAGTTTGTGGTAATAAAAACTATGGTGGCACGTGTGGCATAAGCACTAGTGCCTCGATCGTTTACACCCTTGTGTCCAAGGGCCGTGAGGCAAGTGCTTTATTGAGTGTAGCCACCGCAGCGGAGACCTCTCTGGAGACGTCGTGCTACGACATGCCCGGGTATATGATATGAAACGCATGAACTTCTCTTAAAAAAGCTAACAATTATTTATGTGTGAAAAGTGGTTCCCTACCGACGAACATTGCAAAACGTAGTGGTATCTGTTTTCGGTAGGGTAATGGCAAGTGTTGTCTGTTAGCTTGTCTAATTTTTTTGCACTGTATTAGAATGTGAAGTACGGTGCGTGCTTCTCCACATCTGTCACACAAAGGTGGGTCGCCCCCAGACAGAAGAAATGAGTGAGTAGTGTATGTATCCCTGTTCTTAGCCTTGTAAGGATTGCTTCAGTGTGGCGTGATAAAGAGAGGAGTTTTACAAGATCTGTACAGCAGCCGGGACAACCATGACCATATTGTAAGAAGTAGCAGTAACCGAAATGGCATCCCACCAGTAATTCTATAAGAAGTGAAAAGCCTTGGGGAGGATATGCAAAGAGGCAAACTGCTGGTGATGATTATATAGCATCAGATCTGCTGAAAGACTGAGGAAAGGTTGTGTTAGAAAAACGAAATGTCTCCTGACGAGGAGGATGCCCGAATTTCGAAAGAATTCTAACATCTCAATTCATAAGAAAGTGGACGACAAGGAGTTGAAAAATTACAGGCCGATTCACTTGCTCTCCGACGTATACAAGCTATTTACAAAGAATATTTGTTACAGAATCAACACACCATTGTAATTCAATCAACGGAAGGACGTACACGCTACTCAGGAATCGACCACATTCATATACTATCAATCAGGTGATAGAAAAATGCTGAGAATACACCCAACCACTATACATCACCTTCATAGATTACGAAAAGGCAGTCGATTCAGTAGAGATATCAGCAGTCATGAAGACAATGCGGAATCGGGGCGTCTACGAAGCATATATGCAGGTTATAGAAGCGGATGAAGTGCCACCATAGTGCTCCATAAACAAAGTGAGAGATTAACAATAAAAAAGGTGTAAGACAAGATCAGATCTCCCCAATGCTATTTACCGCGTGCTTACAGAAAGGTTTCAGACGCCTAGGATACAAGTTAATAAAGAGTACCTTAGTAAACTGGCTTCGTGAATGACATTGCATTGCGGACTGACTCAGGGGGACGAATTCCAAATCATGATTGCTGAATTAGACAAGTAAAGCTGAAAGTTAGGTAGGTCAGCAGTCTGAAGAAAACGCAGATAATGCACATCAAACTCTAAAGAGAACAAAATCCAGATGGGAGCCGACAGATGGAAACACGTCGTGGGATAATGAGGGTGAGCAGTCGAAGTGCTTCAGACTCGCTCGCCGACGTTTTGATTGGAGGACCTATCTTTGTCACCTTGTCATCATTGGCGTCCCTTAAAACTCCTCTTCATCCCTTAAAGCTAACACACCAAGGATGACAAGGCGTATTTGACAAAGATAAATCCGCCTACCGAAGTACCAAATGTGTCCCGAGATGTTCGCAAGCCCGCTGTGCAGTATATGCGAACAAGAACTGGCGACACTAGGACACATAGTGAGATGTCACAGTGCAGCGATACCGGGCGGCGGTTCGTGCGAAGGTGCTGACGGTGATGTATGCGGCAGGGCTGGGGAATCTCATGGTGAAGTAACTGGTGCCGATGACAGCACCGCCCGCCAAGAACTGCCAGCGCAGATGGAGCGGTGGATCCGCTCGATGGACTGCCAATCTTAGAAATGAGCGATCCAGCGGCTCGAGGGGGCCCTGGCCAGGCAGAGGAGAACGGCAACCCGTGACCCGCAAGCGCGGGGCGCGGGAACCCAAGTATCCTCTGTCGGGTCAGGTTCAACCTTCGAGTTCTTGGCCCAGTGTTTCTAGGACTGCATAGACTAGAACATTAGAAGGGTAGACCGCGCGCCCTGCGAGGCCGGCACCTACCTCACGGAGGATCCTGTGAATAAAGTCTTCTCTCTCTCTCTCTCATCCAGCCTGTCTGAGGCACTTCTACTGGCTACTCAGATTATCTCACTCCGAAAAGAACAGTGCTTCTAGATAGGTAGCAGTCCCCTTGAAGTTGTAAAATAGTACGTCTACTTAGAACAGGTAGTAACGGCGCAGCCGAACCACAATATTGAAGTACCTAGGAGAATAAGAATGGGGTATAGCAACGTCTGCAAGCATCCCCAAATCTTAAATGTAGTAACCCTTATCCCTCAAGAGGAAGGTATATAACAGTTGCATCTCGCCGGTACTTAACTACGGGCAGAAACCTGGAGGCGTACAAAGGGGGTTCAATTTGAGGATGACACACTGAGCAACTGAAAAAGAAATGATAGGTGTAACCTTAAGGGACAAGAAAAGAGCAGAGTTTATCAGGGAACAAACCGGTCATAGTCAAAATTAAGAAGACGAAATGGTCATGGGCGGGCTCGTAGCGTGAAGGCCAGATAACCACTGGTCATTAAGGACCACTGGTCATAGATTTCAACAGTAGGCAAGCGGGTGAAGGGGAGACACTAAGTTAAGCGGGCAGGTTAGATTAGGAAGCTTGTGGGTATAAAGTGGTAGCAGCAAGCACAATACCGAGCTGGCTGGCGGAACATAGGGGAGGCTTTTGTCGTACAGTGGGCGTAGTCAGCCTGATTATAATGATGATAATCGGTCGTATTCATAGCACTTATCACAGAGATTTGTTATGACGGGAGAAAAGAAACCCGTACCAGTGCCATCTTTCAACAACCTAAAAGTTAAAGATTAGTCTTAGAAAACGCGACAGCCCTTGCTGTTATTTTCTTCATAGCCTCGTACCATCCTATGGCAATTTTAAAATATACTAAGTTAAGGAGGGCTACTAGTAGGCGTAGGCGTGTGGACGGAGTGCCAGTCTCAAGCACGTGTAAATGATTCCAATGTATGTATTTTGTTTTACTATTATTCATTTACCATTCGAATTGCTGATTAGTGACATTGTTTCCAATTTGTTTCACGTATATTACCTTAAACTGATGTGGAAAGGACCTTCATCTTACCTTGAATTCACTTTTTACGTGTATTACCACTTCTATACCATCACGATTCTCTTGACAAAAACTCACTTTCCGCCTTTATCATTTATTCGCACTTTATTGCAGCTCCCGTGGGAAGCAAATCAATACCTCGATGATTCATGTGCACCAGACAAGGATAGTATCACAACCTAAACTATAACCTGCTGAAATATTAAACATGTACACTATTTGCACACTGCACCAGACAACATCACCTTATTTTAAACGCAAAACATTTCTTAGGGAATGGCGGACAACTTGAGCGTTTGAGAGAGTGGCATATACTGTATCACATTCAGGACCTCTATTTGATTTCTGAATTTCATGACATTTAGAACGGTGAAATGTAGGTTAGAAGGATGTACTAGACCATCACGTACCTTT